ATTCCTAGTTTAGGTAAACACATCTAGAGAAAGGCTCGCTCTGGCACGGGGAATTAATATCCTGTTAAACCAGTTGAAAAGGTCACCAGTAAACAAGAGACACTCCCAACACTCCCTCGTGCCAGGACTGATAGGACACCAAGACAAACGGCTGAGAGCAGGGACTGGGGACGCTGCAGCATCCGCCTGCCAGCGTGCAGCTGCAGCCAGCTCGTGTTCTCTGCAGCCACACTCTCTCCACAGCACTTCTGCACTAACAGCAGCAGCCCTGGGCCTTGGGAAAGCTGCTTTGCTGCCTTCACACAGCCCCAGGGAGGACTGGCCAGCACACAAAAGCAGCCAGGGCTGTTGGGCTATTGTCAGGTTGGTCAAGGTCACAGCCCTGCTGGGGATCCCTGCCTCCAGGCTGGGGATCATTTAGAGAGTGGGTTGTATAAATTAAGAGATAAGAAAGGACATGTACACTGGCTTCTTCAGTATGGGGGCCCACCTGCCCTGGAGAGTCCACCCTTGGCACATGCCTGTGCTGCTGCTGGCATAGACATTCCAGCACAAGACCTTTAAAAGGACATGCTGGGAGAATGTGATGCCAGGTGATGCTCCAACAGCAAGAGAGAAAAAAGGATAGAATAAAATTACTCAGGACACAGCATTCAACTTCATTTTCAATAGAAAACCTGAAGCACAGAGGAGCTGCTGGCAACTCATCTCTGCAGGCACAGAAGTGGAAGTCAGGCTGCAGAGGTGTGAAGAAAAGGTGAGAGCTGCCAAGAGAACAGCGAGGGGGAGCACCAGGGCTGAGACAGCCTTGAGTCAAAACGCACTGAGAGTGAGCCACAGACCATGAGTGGAGCTCTGCACCCTGGGGCCTGGGTCTTCTTCTAAGAGTGCAGAGCCTCTGGGATGCTTTCCCTTCCTTCCCACCAAGGAAACTCAGCTTCTTTCCCAGGAGATTCAGGAACAGAAACCACCAGGGCTGCATGCATTTTCAAGGCCCACAGTGAACAGAACTTAAGGAGAATAGCAAGATAAACTGTGTGTCTTGCACAGAGAAGCTGCTTAGTCCAGAAAGACTTCAGCTGCATTTGTCTCAATCCACATGGAGAACTTTATAATGCTCAAAATGCCATTTTCTGGTGTCCAGCCCCAAGATAAGCCTTGCTGTTAAGTCGTGTGTGAAACGGAACTGCTGGAACAGTGTGTTTCTCACAAGTGCTGGTGGGTCTAAGCACAAGAAAGGACAGAATGACCCAAAGGAGTTTGGGTACATGTGGGTTCTCTCTTAAAGACAGAAAAATCTAATTTTTCTTCCTGGACACACCTGGGCTGCACTGCACAGAAAGTGCTCACAGCAGGGCAGGATCCCTTAGCAGGTGCTGGATAGATCAGGCATGGCCTGATCAAGAAGGTGTTACCCCTTGTCCTCAATCAGACTGAGGAATGCTGTTCTCTACAAACACCCAGTGATTGCAGCCCTGGTATCTCCTGCCTAAGCCCTGGAGGGGAAAGGCAGCCCAGCTCCCTGGCATTGCATGCCATGTGTTTCCACAGAATGCACTGGTCAGTGCCAGGCACTGCTGTGGGATCAGGCTCCCAGGAAACCCCACTGAACACAAAGTTGCAAGGACTGCAAGGGACTGCAAGGCATGGGCTTACCCAGCAGAGCCTGGAAGAGTTCACTTTGGAAGATGTGCGAAACTTTTCCAATGGAAGCTTTTAACTCCTGCTCCTCCGGGGACCGCAGGGTGCTTTGGTATCTGGTCAGAATTTCCACTGCCCGTTCAGTGTCTGCAGAGATGACACAGGAGTAACAAGGCATTAACATTGTAGGATGCTAAGGGAAGGCTTGAGTTCAGCCTGGGATAATGCCTCAAGCTGCCCTCCAGTCTGGATTTTTAAGTCAGACAGCCACAAAAGCAGCCTTCCTTACACACACCTGGGAAAGCTAACCCTGCTGAGAGCCACTGAGGGCCCACAGCAGAGACCTGGGCAGGGGCTGGAAGTGAGGCAGTTCTGCACCAACCCTGAAAATCAGGGGCTAAAATCAGATTGCCTCAACTCTGAACCCTGTGGCACTGGGCAGCCTGAAGACCTCTGCCACCACCCAGGCACAGAAGCTGTTCAGGAGCTGGACACATTCTGGTTGCACAGGGCTATGAATACCACTGCAGGAACTGCAGCCTCCCACATAGGGCCAGATGGCTGCAGCAAAGCTGAGCGTAGGCCCATTCACGTAGTGCAAACAGCTCAGCTACAGGAGTGGCAAAACTTGGGTTGCTACAGGGTGAAGCATAAGAATTGCTCAAAGCAGCAAGCAGGTGTGGGTCAGCAGGAGACAAATGGGAAAGGAACACGATGCCTTGGGGTCAGAGGAGATGCTGGTGAGGAGGGGAGCTGGAGGCTGCCATGAAGCAATGTTCTGGTTAATGACTGGGCTAGACATAGCTATGAGAAAACCCAGGACCTAAAATAGTGGAGCTGTGATCTCCCTGCCTGGACACCTCCACACTTCTCTGGGCAGAAAGCCAGAGCCGCCAGTGCAGCCTCGACCTCAGATGTGACCCATGTCTCAGGCAGGTGGTGAGCTCCTGTGGACCTTCCGACCATCCCTGCCCCATCAGTGGATGTTTCCCTTTGTCACCCAGGCAGACTGCAGACAAAGAGTGTCTGTGTGAGAAGGCAGGGAAGCTGTCCCGCCACTGCTGGAGACTCATCTTTTAAGGCAGGAACTCATGCAGAAAGGATGACCCTGCTCATCACAGGGCTCTTGAGAATTCAGGTCATCAAACAAGGGGGCCTGTGTCTGCTCGGGTCTGTGCCACCTGGTGTCCCAGCTCACCCAGCCTTCCAGCTTCTCCTCAGCCGAAAGGGAAAGGGGGTCCTCCTGCCCGTGTCACCAGCCCACACTGACTCATCATACAGCAGAACAGGGAAAGGAGTCTGGGGAAGCATGAACAGCTCTGACTTGGAGCTGGGCTCCACACTTGCTCCAGGAAAAGCAGGGACTTCCCCGAGCTTTACGGCAATCCTAACCCTGTGCTATTACTAAGAGCTTCCTTCTCTGCAAGATAAACCAGTGGTTTCAGGCACTGCCCAGCATACCATGAGCAGGGCTAAGATGTCACTGCCTGGTCATTCCTTACCTTATCAGCAGAACTAAAGAAGCTCATGGAGAGCTGGAGCCACCACACCAGGACACAAAGACTGCAAACCTGGTGTAAACTTCCCACCGCAGCCCAGGCTGCGCAGCAGGAGCGGCAGGCATCGCGCTGACCCCTGTGCTGCTGGTCACCCGCACCGGGTGACAGCCAGCTGGAGCAGGGGACTGCTGGCTCCCGATCTGGGAAGTGCTGTGCACCCAGCGTGGCAGGGAGACCACAGGACCCTTCCTACAGCTCCCAAGAAATAGCACATGGTGTCCAGGGCTCATCTCCACGTGCCTCAAGGTGCATGCGAGTCCCACGTACAGGAAATCCCTCGTGGCAGAGCCCAAACCCCCATGGCCGCTCTCCTCCCCGCAGCACGCAGGGGATCTGCAAGCAGTGCATCCCCCGGCCACCCACTCTGAGCCACGGCAGCACAACGTGTCCACAGCCCGAGCAGGGCGTGGAGCGAGAGCGCCCAGTCCTCGGGTCTTAACCCGCGGCTCGCACGGCCGCCCGTGGTGGGGAGCGAGGGCGGCAGCTGCCCGGCAGGAGCGCGGAGCAGCGGGCGCGGTCCCAGCTCCGGTCGCGGCGGGGCAGACACTTGTTGAGCGCGGGGCCGCGGTGCCCCGGCGCGGCGGGCAGGGCCGGGCAGTGCGCTCCTTACCTTCCCGGCGGATCATCGCTCCGCCGTGACCGACGGCCGCTCCGCTCCGTGCCAGCCCGCGAGCGGCCGAGCC